AAACGGTGAACACCTCGTGTAGCTGAGATCGTATGCATGACTGCTGTCGCATTAGTTCAATCGCGTCCCGCAGACACCGCACGTAGTCATCGAAGGTGATTGTTCTCGCGACGACGCTTCTATTCACACCCATCACCTTCTTCGTGCACTTGCTGTCGCCCACTCAAGTCGCGTACATCTTCGCGCGCAAACCCACAAACTCCGTTATAACAACACCGTTGTTCTCATCCTTCATAAGACTTTCTTGTTCACGCGAGGTATGTTGTACGGATTGTCCGCTGAATAGTCGCTTGTATCGAAGCGAGCGATATCGCGCTTCATATCTTTGTACACGTCCTTGCACTTTATGTGGTATATCAAACTGTCGATATTGGTGTAGAGGATTTTGCAATCGTCACCGTACAACAGTGCCATGTAATCATAATAGAATTCGTAAAGACAGGTTTTCGATATGTCGAGTATGCACATACCGACGTACGACGGTTTATTGAATAAAACTTCCAGACGACGCAGTTCTATGGCCACCAAATCCTCAGTGAACACGCTGCAACTGTGGAAGTTTGGTTTTGCAATGAGCGCCTCCGCACCATATCATCCTTCCCATTTTGTAACGAGTCGTACGTCGGTGTACTTGCGCATTTTCTCCATCATCTTGCCGAAAACCGCGTTGTTCATAAGTTTGTAAAGATTCTTTCCAAACTCGTTGGTTGCGTTCGCGCGAAATCGGGTATTGAGCTCGATGTACCCGCGCAGTCAAGGCGATTGCGAAAATCGCAGCACCTGATGTATTTGCGTCAGGTGAAGCCCGTGTCGCAGACACTGCTGCAGGTTAAGGTAGTGAATCACGTAGCGCTTCTTGTCGAACACTGTGGCGAGCAGTGTGACATGACTCATTTTATGTTTACCAGACGGCTTCTCGCGCGTCGGACAAAAGGGTAGATTTCTGTGCGCGTCGTGCAGATCTTTCGAGTACATCAGATCCACCTCGAGTATGTAGCCGACGTCGCTGTCCACCGCGACTGTTGATACATCAAACTTGTACGCGTTCTCCACCCATGTAAAGTTACCGTACGGAAGCGGTTGACACATCGCTCATCCGTAGAGATTGTTCACGTTGTAGTACATCAGATACGTCGACGATGCAGACGGGTCGTGCAAACGTGCGTACCTGTTGTTCGCGCGGGCGTATCTGTTTGAACATTGACTCAAACCGCTGCGTATGCCGCGTTGCACAAAAATCACCATGTCGATATCGGTCAGCAGCTCGAATGCCACACAAGTGTACTTGAACATGGCGTCTCATGTATATCCGGGCAACGTGTAGTAGTGCGCGGGATCCAGTCCGTAACTCGCGAGGAACTCGCGACAAAAATTTTCAAGTACATCGGACAGCAAAAGTACGTTAGTCTTCAGATATAGATTGCTGTATGATACCAGATTGTCGATGTTGAATTGTCGCCATACATTCGTCGCGTGCGCGTACTCGCTCTCTGTCACGGTCTCACCGGTGAGCGAACTGTAAACCGCTTCATGCAGTGGCAGACTGGTTTCCAACAGTTTGTCGATGCTGTCCACATATTCGTATGGAAACACAACTTTTCGCGTAAGCAGTTCGAAGTCCTCGGCGGAGAGATCTCTGAATTCCGTTCGAGTCACTCGCAGTTCCCTCTTGTCGAGATAAGACGCGAGCTTCTCTAAGCTTCTGCTCAGAAATTTGTATGAATCGATGAACCGCAAATTGCACGCAGTTATGTTTGTCTTTGTCTCGAGTACTGTTCACATGTTTTGTGAACGATATGTAAATCTCTTTCGTCACGGGCAGCATGGTGATCTCACCCTTGAAAGCGGTGGCCACATCTTTGATAATAAAATGCGCGTCGTACTCCGACAAGTTGTAGAACACAATGGGAACAACGTAGACCTGTTTGATTCAGATTGCACGCAGAGTGCGTGAATCTTCTGAAGCGTCCCGTCAGATGACAGTGGTCGCGCACCTTCTTGTCATCTTGCTCGAACGGTTGTTTGCACACGTGGCAATATTTGGCGTTCTCAAACCGCTTCACTTCCAACGGTGTGGAATTTGCCATGGGCACGTTTTTTGCAAACAATGTCTTTGCACGTTTTGCGAGATTGTGCAGTTTATTCACGAACCACTGCACGCAGTTTTCACCTCTATAGGATCTGTATCCGATGTTGATGTGCGCGCAGTTCACGTAGTAACCGATGCTGAACACACTGTGTCTTTGGTACTTGTGCGCGCTCGATGCGTTCTGCTCTTTGTTCTGTTTCTCGAGTACGCACTCCAAGTCGGCGTGTACCACCATTGGAACACGTTCCTTGTTATAATTCTTAAATCTCAAACGGTTTTTTCCCTCAGCGGAAAGAACAACTGCGCTGTCATTTAATCGTTCACAGTCCACGATGTGTTTTGCTAGCTTCTTGCTTGTGTGGAAGTAGTGTAGACATCTATGTACGTGTTGCAAATAAAACTACAATACACACAACATTGATTAATGAATTTACCATCTCACAATTTAGAAGGTCACTTTTTATTCAACGTTTTTGTTACTGTTGCAACAATCGTTCGTACTTACCGGTCGCATATGTACTTCGCTGTCTTCTTTTTGCTCAATTGCGAGCTAACCAAACGCGATAAATTTTTTATCCATGCAAAGTGTCCCACGTGTCTATCTTGTTGATCAGGAACATACAATGGATTCACATACTTGTTCTTCTTGTTTGACGTAAAGTGCAGCGGCACGTATCCGTGTCCCTGTTCTGCCGCCGTAAACACGTTTACGGACACGTTGTTGCGTTCAAAACGAGCGACTTGGTGCAATGTGATTGGAAACTCTATTTTATCAAAGTTCAATACACTTGCGTACGCGGAATACTGCAACGGTCGATTAGAGTGTTTGACACTTGGATACAACGCGGCGACCACTGCTCACGCGGAACACGCATTGTCTTGCGATTGTACGTTCACTACCGCGTGTTTGAACTGAACCTTACGCGTTATCTGGACCTGACATCGCGCGCGCATGGAATTATGATTGTTCACATTCACTGTAAGATACAGTATTTGCACCAACGCCCAGCCGCTGTCGCGTTCCTGGAACTCCTCTAGAGCGGTCATTGTTGCATCCATTACGTCTTGATCGTACCACACGCGCAGATCCGACGCGTGATAGAGTTTACGATTGCGCGTATTGAACGATTTTACACTCGTCTTTTCACCCGTGACAACCGTTCCGTTGAACATTGTGTTCACTTTTACACTAGCGTGCCGTGCGAATGCTCGACAAACGCTCGCGAGCACCGTGTCTCTAGCGGCTTCGAGAAATCAACGGGGTTCGATGAACGACTTGTTCATCACGATGCCGGTCACCAAACGATTTGTAAGCGCTGTCTCGACTTTGATCCATGCGAGTCCAGCACTCTCGACACCCGCATCCACATGCGCGAATCGTTCGCGAAGGACCGCGCGCAGATTTTCGAGTCGCGAAATTTGAGCGATGTGCCAATTTATCACACCTGTGTACAGGGTGTCCATAAAGTCTGGAAACACCTTTATATTTTGGAAACGGTTCGAAATTATGAAAAATCGCGAAATACGTATTCAATCGTTTTGAGGGGCTATTCTTTTAAGGGGGTTGCGGATGTTTCCATCTTTTAGGGGGACCTTTCAGGGGGCCCCCCTCAAAATTTTTAAATAGAACCCCGCATATTGTAGTATATCAATTGAAAGGGTATAAAAAAAGAAATCTTTTGGTTCAAATCAGAAGTTGATACAGTGAGCCGTTTAGGAGTTAATTACAAGCAAAGTTCGGGAAAAGTCAAGTCTTAAGACATCGTAAAAATCTTATTAAAAGCGAAATTTATTAGGATTAGATCAACTTACCTATTGAAGTAGCTGTTCAAAATGAGCACCGTTCACTTCTTGACAATAAAATAATCGATCATAAAATTCCTGTCTAACATTCTGAAATGTTTGCTTGGATATGTCTTTACAAGCTGTCGTAATTCTTGCCTTC